TGGTGCATTTGGTGCACAGGGCTGGTGCCTGCTTGCTGGGGGCTGTATGCATGGGCGCGTGGGTCCCAGGAGTGTGTGCACACGAACGTCTGTGGAAGTGGTGTGTCTGCGTGCACGCCTGCGCGTGCTGCTTGGGACATGGTGGCCGCCCCCCGTGCCCTGCTGGTGCTGTGCCCCCTGGTCCCTGCCTGCCCAAGGGTCCCGGCGGGGTCCGGGGGGCGGGAGCGGGGGCCTGATGGGAAGGAGGCCCCTGCACAGGGGTGTCTGCCCTGCGTGAGGTCATAGAATGTCAAATCTATTTTAAATGGTGAAACTGGAGAATTTTCATGTTATTTTCAATACATAGCGGTATCTAAAGACATAGGCCACGAGACTAGACCACATTAAATGCATTTTGATCTCTTTGAGTGCCACCGTGTGGAGATGTGTGTTTGAAAATCCCTGCCTGGTGTTCTTAGGCTCGGTCAGCCCACTGTGACCCAGGGCCTGGGGGGCCAGGGTGGGGGTGGGTCCTGTGGGAGCCCTGGGAGAGAGGACAGAGCCCCGCCCTCTTGCAGACCCCAGCAAGTTCCTCCAGCTGGGACACGCCCCTGCGGGCCCCTGTGACCGCACACCCTCTCCTGCACAGGCCCTGGAGTGCGCCCTCCCATCTCCTCGTGCTGGATGTGATACTTCCCCAGCTGTGTGACCTTGGGCCACTTCCCTGTCCTCCCTGGGCCCACACGCCCCCCTTTTACTTCCTTCTGCTGAGATTCAGGGCATGCGTCCATATGCGGCTGTGTGCTGCGTGTGGGAGAGTGGTCGCTCTTTCCGAGGACTCCATCGTGGGAGACTCCGCCAGCAGCCCTGGTTCTCACCACGGTGACAGGACAGAAAGCCGCGGTGGGCAGGCAGAGGGCCCGAGGACCCCTACTCCAGCCTGGCTCGGTGACAGGGAGGAATTGAAGTGGTGTTCTCCCTGGTGAAGCCGGGATGAGGAGGGCCACAGGGCAGACAGGGGCCGCCGGCAGGGACAAGAGGACACACAGGGAGGAAGATACGTGAGGCCCATCTAGGGGAAAGGGGGATTTTATCTGTACCAAGCACTTAGTCTCTGGGGTGTCAGTGGCCTTCCGGCAGAGGCCCACAGGGAGAAAATTCTTTCCTTTGCCCCAGCTCGTTCCCTCACTGGAGAACTTCTCTGCATCAGTGAAGGACCCCGGGGACGCTTCATTCTGTAGGATTCAGGAGATGATTCAGGATAAGGAGCTCTGGCAGAGGTGCCATGCAGGGATGAAGGACAGGAGGTCGGGAGGGGCCGGGGGCAGGTCACAATGGCTTCTTGGAAGTTGTTCGTCTGGGTTGAACCTGGAGACAGGAAGACCCTGAAGGTGGTTGGCTTGATCTGGGGGTGGGGGTGGGGATCCCTGCTCCTAGTCCCAGAGCCCTCCTAGATACCCCAATACTGGAGTCTAAGCCAGTTGGGGCCAATGAGCTACGGCCTCTGCTCAGTCCCCTGAGCACTAGTTCCCCCAGACAGGTGAGGGGCCCCAGTCAGCACAGGATAAATGTCTATGACTCCAATCAGGTGGCACTAGAGTTCAGC